GCGCGCGCTCTCTCTCCCTCTCTATCGCGCGCGCGCTCTCTCTCCCTCTCTATCGCGCGCGCGCTCTCTCTCCCTCTCTATCGCGCGCGCTATTTCTCCCTCTCTATCGCGCGCGCTCTCTCTCCCTCTCTATCGCGCGCGCTCTCTCCCCTCTCTATCGCGCGCGCTATCTCTCCCTCTCTATCGCGCGCGCTCTCTCTCCCTCTCTATCGCGCGCGCGCTCTTTCTCCCTCTCTATCGCGCGCGCGCTCTCTCTCCCTCTCTATCGCGCGCGCTTTCTCTCCCTCTCTAGCGCACGCCCGCTCTCTATCTCTCTCTCTCTCTCTCTCTCTCTCTATATATATATATATCTATAGCTTTATGAATGTGGGTACATATGTGAGTTCATGAATTTCGAACACATTGTCTTGTTGATAAAATAATAGAGGGCTTAGAAGGCGTCGAGAATGCATTAGAAATAACATTGGTCTCGTTGTGCAATTGTGACATCCGGATTCGATCACGTGGTGTAGCCATTTTTGCGTTTGAAACGGAATCCGCATCATTTACCTCCAAAAGTTTCGAGCGGAGTATAGAGCGTGAATCTGTGGTTATTTACCATGAATACAGTGTAGGTCTACGTTGTGTAAGTGACGAAACTCTCAGAGTATTTTTTAATTAATTTCTGTTCGACGCTCGTTCAGGCTTGCTGCCTATGGACGCCCTCTACTGTTGTACACCACCTATAACTTATAAGTGTTACCATCATGTTGTTCATGGCAGAAGAGACAACCAATGGCCAGTGCTATGTCCAATTTCAGTCCAGTCATCCTCACTAACTGTCTTGTCTCTTGCATGGTCGCCTTCAAGACCTTCTCTCCTCATCTTCCTTCTCTGCAGCATTCCTCACCCAGGGGGTGTGACACTGTTCTGGTGACGTCCTTGCCTTGGACATTAGCGCAATTGCCAATGCAAAGATGCAGCCGTGCCCAAAATCGAGATGGTGAGCGTATCCACAGTGTGTGAGCACAAGCTATTTGTAGACAATTTTCCACATCAGAGCGCAGTGGTTTGTTCACGATCGTGACTACTTCAATAGTTTTGCGCTGTGCCTAATGTACCATAATATTATATCAAGAGTACATAATGGGAGAAAAGTATGACACTGTTTAACAGCGTTTTGCGTAGTTTTCAACTTGAATTTATTCTACCAATATGTGAATAAATATATTCAAACTTTACCTTGTTTTCATCTCGGATTCTCCCTTAATCATATGACACCAACAGTTTACCTGAAAATCGTATGTGTTTTTCAAAATAGTTTTTTTAATACGACACGGTTTCACACAGTTTTCCCAAACGTTTGCATCTTATCTGCCAGAGTTGATATAGCGGCGGCAGCACCAGGTTGTAACTACGGGACGCTGGGGGCTGTTGGGAATATTAGGTAAGCACAGTAACAGCACTTGTTTCGCTTCCTTATCATCAGGAACACGATGGCCTCACAGCTAAAATCAGCTGCTCCCTCGCCGTGAGCACACATTTATTTCTAGCACGCTGGAAACGCATTACACACTGAATACAATTCGATGCCTAATATCCCCAACAGCCCCCAGCGGCCCGTCAGCGACAACAGAACACTAATCCGATAACAAACATTGGTCGATAAGATGCAAAAGTTTGGGAAAACTGTGTGAAACCGTGTCGTATTCAAAGAACTTTTTTGAAGAACACATACGATTTTCAGGTAAACTTGTGGTGTCATGATTAAGGGAGAATCCGAGACGAAAACAAGGTAAAGTTTGAATATATTTATTCACATATTGATAGAATAAATTTAAGTTGAAAACTACACAAAACGCTGTTAAAACAGTGTCATACTCTTCTCCCATTATGTACTCTTGATTATATATATGCCTTCCATAACCTTCCAAAAATCTCTGCATGGAGTCAGTCACAACTTTTGGTGATTACATAAACGATTGTGATTCATTGCTCAACTGGTAATATGCACAGCAAGAACACTGGCAGATTTGGTGAAATAAACAAAATCCAAAGAAAATCAATACAAAAAATACATTTTACGAAAATGTAGTAAGGAGATGTGTATTGTAATATGACAATTACAAAAGATGCACTTTTACATACCCTACTCCCGTAAGTGAGAGCATCACAATGCCATGTTCAAGCTATTGCTTGGCATTTCTTCTAATTGTCATTTCAAATTTTATCTGTCAATTAGCAGATCATGCCCTTAATCACACATGAATTTGCACATTGTAAAGGCATTTCCACCCACACAGACACAGAATGGGACCTGATGGATGTTTGAAAGCTAACCAGACAGCTGAACCTTGCGCAACACTGCATAGGTACAGCAAAGGACCTACTGACTTCCTAACACTACAGTGTGCATGGTCAATTTCATCAGTCTGAAATACATCCACGGTCTCGTAACGATCATGCTGGGAGCGGATGCTCGATTTTCTAGCGTTGCTATCATCGTTGTTATTCAATTACTCCACATCCTCTTCTGCCAACATGGCCGACGATGATGCTGTCCGTGTGATACGCTGGAATGGAGAAACAGTTATTAGACAGAATGCTAAACACATGCACTCGCACAAATGCATAATGAAAATAACTCCTTTCAGCTGGTCCAAAAATCGTCTGGATCGCAATATTGCATGCCATAAGATGGCAAACGTAGGGCCATAATAAAAATATTGTTTGTTTGCCCTCAACCGGCCAACCCGCCAAAAAGGGGCCGACTCGAAATTTTTTATTATCAATCTTTTTTTTTACCAATTGTATCACTGTACTTTATATAAATCTGTAGGCAATACATTATATGTATCAAGCAAAACAAACATAAAAGGTATATACACACAAGCACACCCGAGCATGTAGACACCATGCTGAATTTGTAAAAAAAACCATTCAAAAAGAAAAGAAAAAGAAGCCTACCTACCTACCTAAACTTTTCAGCCTGGGTTGGGTGAGGGCAAACAAAGATTTTTTTAATTGTGGCCTAGGCAAAATGATTTTTTTCATTAATACAGAAAAGGTACACCATGGTGCACATTTTCTATTAATGTCCTGTAGGAAAACTTTGTTGGACAACCCATAAAATAAACCCATGTATCATAAATTTAATATTGGTTTCAAGAATTCCCTATTAAAATGAGGTTATTTGCTAGAGTCAAATAAAATGCTACTTGGAAATACTGTAGTGTTAACTATTAAAACGTTTTCCAGCATCAAATCTAAAGTATCTTTGCACAATATAAATACAGTAAAACTCGCATAAGTCGACACTTTTGAGACCAGCATATTTGTGCCAACTTACGAAAATGACGACATATGCGTAAGTCGTCATTTTGTCGACTTATACGTAGGGCTTCCCTCCCAGGCGCCCGTCACCCCTACGCAGTCATAAACATGCTCCACACACGACGTCAGTTCGCGCCACATACATAGCAGACATGAAACAATCGGGTCCGTACATCAATCGACACCGCTGCTGGCCATAACGCACGTACAGCGTATGAACTAGTGGCAAGCGCGGCACACGCTAGCTATCTGTAACACCCGCTGTTGATTACACGTTTGGACATTGCAGGACTATTTGCGATGCACGTCTGCCAAATTTTCTTGGAACACTAAAATAAAATAGCTGATAAAATACGGTAATTCCGCGATGCCGTGCTCTGGAACGAACTAGTTAGTATAGCAGAATTTTCAGAGAGTCATACGGACTCCTGCATTATTATGTCAAATCAGGACGTCCGGCAGTAAATCGGGGAGCATTTGACTCCGGACTCGTGTTAATTTCGCACCCTGCATTGGGCTGCATACACTGGGGAATCTGGGGGATGTGCGAGCTAAAAGATGCGAGCTGCGACAGCCAGCTCGTACATCCCCTAGACCGTACACTGCGCGCGCGCCATCGGCATTTCTGATGACGACTTACAGATGGGAAATTACCGTTGTTTGTATTACATGTGACCTGTCTGAGGGCGTTGACATGTACTTAATGACGACGTATCAATGACGACTTAGGCGGGGCTATTCCAATGGATTTACTATGAGAGAAAAATCGGGACTTTGACTTCCGTGACGACTTATGCGAATTGACGAGTTAGACGATGACGACTTATGCGAGTTTTACTGTATATAAAAATAGAATAAGGTGTCGATTTTTCATATTGCGAGCTTTCAAGAACGTCTCTTCCTCAGGCTTCACAACAAAAACAAAATGGAAACAGTTTGATGGTGAAATATAAA